GAACCCCACTTATAACTACCCATGACCCTCCAAGCATTTTGTTTGAATCTCCTTTTCCAGGTGCCGTTGAGACCAGCTCCAAATGCTTCGCTCAGCCAGGCTCTGCAGCTTTAGACGGGCGGATGACGGGCTTGGGGGGGGCATCTTGCAGTTGCGATGTTTCGAAGGACAGAGTACTGTACCTCAAGGACGACATGAACCGTAAAGGGGTTTAAGGTTTATATACCATATAGGGATTCATAGTATATGGGTATAGGGCCCGTATGGGCCCGTACTTTTAAGGGTCATTCGGTCCTTCAGGTAGTTGCCCGATTTCGTTCACCTTCATGCAAACATTGCTGCCACGGCGCAGATTTCCGAAACAGCTCACAAATCGACTGGGCTCGTGGATCTCGCCGTAGATAACCTCCGACTCATGCAGCTGTATGTGAGCTCGGGTTGGTGATCCCCAAAAGGAACTACCATGGGGCCTCTGGGTAGACACTGGATGGCAGCAATGCAGGCGTCTCTGAGACCGAGCTCTGCGTCAGACTCCAAAGCCAACGTGCTGCTGGAGGTATGCTGGGCTGAGGGCTTGCAGAGTTAAGCCCTAAACCCTAAACCCTAAACCCTAAACCCTAAACCCTTAAGAGTAGAGGGCTTACAGGATTTTATAGAGAATTCCGGCTTGAAGGTTCAGAACTTACGGTTGGGTTTAGGGTTGTTTCATGTTTCAGGATTTTCCAAAGCTTTCAGGGTTTTTGCCGGGTTTCACGGTTTGGGACTGTAACTGTTCGGTCGGTTCGAGACCTCACCATCGAAGATTTTCTGACGAAGCCCCGGGCTGATACCGCAAAGGGTTTAGGGTTTAGGGGCTGATAGGAGGGAAGTAATTGAAGGATTCGGAGGTAGTCTTTTGTGTCATTTATTCAAATTTGATTCTCGGGTCCACCCTTGTAGTCATTACTACCAGTTACTACCATGACTCTATTATAATATACCCTAGAACCTTTTTCTGATTCCCTTCGGAAGAACATCACTGCACGGAACGGCTTGCTAATGCATTCGGACTTCCGTTGAAAGTGCGCACTTGCAAAGCACACACCCGCCCCAAGCCCCAAACCCCGAAAGCCCCCGATCCTTGAGCCAACAGAACCGGAAGGAAGAGCCGCCCTCCAACCAGCTGGGAGATGCGCGAAACTGCAGCACAGGGTCGCCAGAGACTGGAAAGAAAGGAGACGCTTCGGCTTTTCGGCATGGTTTGAGGTTGGGAGGTAATGCAAGCGAAGCAGAAGCAGGAACGACAGCATTATCAAAAGCGCGCCCACAATCGCATCACTTAGCAGCAACAAGCACGACAACGACTACCACGGAAGCGGGAGCAGCAGCGGGAGCAGCTGGGGTAGCAGCAGCGGCAATCGCAAGGTCATCATGACGGCCGTGACCGCAAAAGGGTTATTTGTACCCGCCACCGCCAGCAACAGCAACTGCAGCTGCCAGGACTGCTACTTGTCGCCAACCTGCCACTGCAACTGCCACTGCTATCAATGTTGCTGCTGCCGCTGCTACTGCCACTCGGATGGCCACTGCCACTCGGATTGCCGCACTAGCACCACTAGGGCTGCTGCTGCTGTTTGCTGCCGCTTCTGCTTCTACTCCCACTCCCACTCCTACTCCGACACAACGGCTACTAGTATTGCTACCTGGTTACTACCTTTTACCTACCTGCAACCTGCTACCTGCCACCTACTACTACCTACAACCTACTACTAACTACCAACTACTAACTTCTAACTTCTAACTACTGGCTACAACTACCAACTACTCCTCCTCCTCCTCCTCCTGCTGCTGCTGCTGCTGCGGCTGCTGCTGCTGCTGCTGCTGCTGCTGCTGCTGCACTGCTGGTGCTCCTGCTCCTGCTCCTGCTACTGCTACTGCTACTGGTGCTGCTACTACAACTACTACCTCCTCCTCCTCCTCCTCCTCCTCCTCCTCCTCCTCCTCCTCCTCCTGCTGCTGCTGCTGCTGCTGCTGCTGCTGCTGCTGCTGCTGCTGCTGCTGCTGCTTGCTACGCTTAGCATGATGATGAGGATGGGTGCCGCCCAGTTGTCAAGGCAAGTAAATGATGAAGCAGATGTTGGCAACATCGTCATTCCCGGTCCCATCATCAGAGCCATGGCGACAGCGATGAGTTATTTACTGTTCATGATGACCATCCTCCTTGATGTTGACATCATTTCTCTGCTCATACTCAAGCCCGACCAACTCCCATGCACTCAGCTCTAGAATCCCAACCCGACAGCCCTGAAGCCGAGTCACAACTCAAGGCATGGCGGCACTCGCAGGAAAAAAGCCATTACAGCAAAACATCCCTGAACCCCTGAACCCCAAAACACTAAACTCAGTGACCCCAAAATCCCAAAGCCCGAAAGTCCTATAACATCCCATAACCCGAAAGCCCTGAAACCCGAAAGTCCCAAAACCCGAATGCTCAAAAAACCCTACAGACCATGACAGGCAGCCCTTTAGATCCCTTAAAGGACCCCCTTTGTCGGCACGTCGAGCCGTAGGGGTTGCAACAAAATAGCACCGAGAGGACGCTGCCTGTCTTCCTTGCAATGCTCGGATGGGGAGTTCTGCCATCCAGAGAGGCCTAGTGTGCTTCGGTTTTTCTGATGCGAAAGTTTTGACAAGGCTCTGTAAGGACGTTATGGGTTTTGGTTTGATAAGGGTATTGGGTTTTGATTTGATTTTTAGGGGATGGCAGAGTGTACTTAAGCATCTCGGAAGGGTTTACAAGGGCATCGTGGGTCTTTATACGACTACTGTTGGTGTTTGTCAGTATACTTTAGCAATTAGTATTACCGATGTTGTCGGATGTTGCAGCCGAAGATCCTGTCCTGGCCTGAACCGCTGGGGCCGGGGGTATCGCAATTGGGGGTCCGGACTTGTGTGTGTTCGGGTTGGAGATGCGTGCAACCTCAGTCTCAAACCCTAAGCCCAGAATCCTTGGCGCCTGAGAATGCTATGGGTGATAAGTGAGTCTGGCTGCTAGTGTTTCTGTGGGCTCTTCAGAAGGAAGGCAATAGCAGAGTGAAAGAGGAGCGGTTAAAACAACATAGAAGTCCCAGAGCCCTCACCCCAATTAAAAAACTGTCCAAACCTTGAGCCCGAAACACGGGGAGTTTGTTGCCATTACAAGGGGTGTGAAGTTGGGGCTTCATCTAAGGTTCAGAGGTTCGTGATTGGGTTCCGGTCGTCTTGGAGTGTGGGGTCATTCTGCACACTCCAAATTCCCAAACTCGCGCTCCAAGATGCCCAGAGCTATCAAGCTTCCTCTTTCCACCGCAGTTATAGTCACCCCCTGGCCAGGAAGACCTGTGAGAGCTTCTGTGTCGACAGAAACAAAGGCCTGGCCATTCGCCCTGCCAAAATATCACAGGTTGCATGGCACTATGCTGAATGGCATTGCATGGTCCTCTAGTGCAAAATGTCACAGCCTTCGCAGCATCTTGAACCGCAGAAGAAGCGCGGTCAGGACATTCATAAAGTTTCTGCGCGTCCTGAAGAGGCTTCAATATGTAGATTGGTTTTTCGGTGCATATACTATATAGAGCTCCGAAAGTAAGACCGAGGACGCGACTCCGAGAAGCCTAACAACCCACCCCCAAAAGGATTAAGGGTTTAGGGTTTCGGTCTTTCGGTTTTAGGAAACACCTAAAGAACATAAGCAACACACTGTGCCCTTTGTTTGAACTCTGGACAGTCAGGTGAGGAAGAGATGACTCGATGCAGCTCCTGCATGCAGGGCTGCCCGAAGAGGACTTGAGCTGCAAGGGTTTCGGGGTGCTTTTGGGGTATTAGTTAGAAGGGGCCCCCACCCTGCAATAGTGACTATAGGGATTAGAAACCCAAAAACACTGGGTACATGATCCGGCTTAGAACCAGGGAGGCTTTAGGCCGGTTCGCGCGCCCAGCGTTTTTGGTTTCTTCTGACTTGCAGGTACGGTCCTCATGAAGCACTACGTTTTCTATGCCTTCCAGGGGGGTTCCTAAATAGAAACCGATACCACAAAAACCAAAAAAAAACAGTATCAAAAACAACAAAAACCAATACACAAAAAACAAAGAATCAACAAAACCGATATTCAAGAACTGCTTGAAATTATGTATTTGTATGAAAGAGTTCTGAAATGGTTTTTGTTTTTTGGGTATAGTTTTTTTTGTTTTTTTTGATATTGTTTTTTGGTTTTTGTGGTATTGGTTTTCTTTCGGCTCTTATTCGTATTGTCTCATGTTTCCGCTCAAGCTGCCTTGTTCGAGTCGAGCACTGTTGGTCCTGCTGATAGTATGGCCTTCCCACAGCAGCGCCTTCCCTTGGACATTCTGCTTAGCATCCGCGATTGCTTGAGTCGACTCTTTTCTCATAGATTTGTTTAGTTTTTTAAACCATATCCACATATTCGCGTTTGTTATATTCCAACTTGTTCTGTTGTATGATCAAAAGCAGTGTATTGAGGACCGCATGCAAAAGCAGCGGCCGATGCAGTACCAAGTGCGCCGGTATATTGGGAACGTCACATCGCTACTTTGCCTGATGGTTGCTTAGACGGCTTAGACATGAATAAACAAAAACTTTCCGGGATTTTTCGTTAGAGTAATAACGTGGTATTGTATTCGACGTAGTTCTATGTGTTATGGCTACTTGTCTATTTCGGTCAGGTTCCAAAGTGCTGGACGTGAACAATATTGATTGCAAACTGACTGAGAAGGGCCAGGAGCTTTTGACATGTGAGGATCTGTTGACATTGATTAGCTAAGCTACAGTATTCAATGCGTCTCACAAGAGAACAGGTCTCACTCACACGATCACGACGAAAAAGGGAAGTGCGCCTCGTACCAGTGCAATTGCATTTTCCAATTGCATCACATCACACTCATTCTACACGTCTGTGTATGAATTGAAATCTTCGCAGCGTTCTCGCTTATGCAATCTCGTATTACGTGTAGCTATTCCTACCATGGCAAGCTTCCGCGTAGATGAAGGTGGTCAAGACGGTAGCATGAATTTTGATGAAGCTGGTGGGCAAGCAAATGGTATGAAGCTCCAGGGTCCAGAGAGACGACCCCTGCGTTCAGACCGAACAACGGGGGAAGTGACCATCGGTGATCTACCTGTTCGTCATCTCGATTCCAGCGCCACCAAACTCGAGCAATTTGCTGATGCTATCATGCATCACCCACTCGAGGTCACCGTCACCATGTTTGACAACCTCTACAAGTTTTGCTGCGAGAACAAAGATTCCAATCTCCCTGAGCCCTTCAACTTGAAGAAAGAGCCCTCCGTGCCGTACAGCATGCAAATCATCATACAAACTGCACAGCCACCTCCCGGAGGAGATACGGATGGATCCTATGTTCACATCTTCAAGCATGTGTACCTTCACCGCAACAAGGTCTCAGCTTCAGATTGTGTCCAGATGTGTCATGGTACTCCTTTGCGGTTTGATTGGGGTAATCACACCCGGCTTGCTCTCACGGGCCTCAATGTCATGCTTGACAAAATGGGTGGCAAGCAACTACGTTACTGGCTTATCAAACCGAAGTTCGAAAAGAAAGTTTCTATTGATCAGCAAGCCAGAGAGGAGGGCTACAAATTCATCCGCGAGTTTGGTCCCAAGGCCAATAACCGCAATCAGTTCATGGAGTGGACCGATGAGCAGATCAACACCACTGGTAGCAAAATTGAGGGTTGGTCCGAGGGTAGGGTAAAGGAAGCGCACCACAATCATATGCGTGGTAGACAAAACGCGAAGACGATCGAGCACTGGCCGTTTACCTTAAAGTCGTTCACACCCTGGTTCTTGGACAACGTTCTGAGTAAGATGCTTCCATCGATGCGACAACATGCTATCACATGGATAGGACGAACCCGTACAGGCAAGTCCTTGGGCTCAAAGGCTGTCCTGTTCACGCAATCCAAGTACGAGATTGACCCGGCAGACCGCGCAGACTTGGTTCCCTCCATCCTTACAGCGAAACACCTGGACTTCTTTAAAGCGGAACCCCTCACCAGATTTAAACCAGGTGTCTTCGATGACGGCATGCTGCAAAGGATGGACGCATCCTTCCTCAAGGCGTTTCTCAATCCATCCGTGGCTTGACATATTTATCTTTTTGTATTGATACAGTTTTGCATTTCCAAGAATCGCCGAATCAACACAATAATATACACACAAAGGAAGAGGATGCCACAGTCTGGGCAAGGTATTCATCGGCACACTTCGAACAAGGTGCGGGCCGCCATGCCTGCAACAACCCATATGACCGCAGCGTGGATGAGGAAGCTTTCGCCAACATGAACACCACCAAGTGCTGGCATATCTCTCATGAGAATTTCATCAAGTTGATCACTCCCTCCTTCAGTGCTGTGGACGAAGCAGAAGACCTCGATGCTATTTTAGCACGCACCCATTTCATTGTCCTTACAGACAGTGGCGTGTATCATCGCGTTGCTGCAGCGGCCAAAGACTATGTGAGCTTCATTCCCTGCTGGGACAACGAGCCCAAAGATCTTCTCGTCCAGTCCCAGCACGAGATCTTCAAAGCCTACAAGCTCAACCCGCATGCTCACGAACTTCCCCCGTCCTATCATGAGGATTCCGTGTGGTCACAGGAACTTCGACGTCTCCTAAACGGCGAGAGTATCCCTCGTGGTTGCACCATCTACCGGCCCAGGGGTGGATTGTTTGGTGAAGTGCGGTACTTGTCTTTGATTATACATGCTTTTCCATGTAAAGTTAGATTCCTCATAAGTTGTTTTCATAGCATAGCCCGATATTTTAAATAGTTAGATAGGTTGTTTGTTTTCCTTCCACACGGTTTCGTTAAAAGCATGAAATAGAAAGGTATCCTGAGCAATCTCGCCCTGCTATTCTTCCGGAACAAGCTCTTCTCGCAAAAGTCAAGAAAGAAAAGGTCATTCACGCCTTCCGCAACTTAGAGGAGAGTGGCCCTCAGGCAATCGACTTGGATACCCCCTCACCATCTCCAAAGAAACGTCCGCATGTGGATGCTGCTGATGCAAGCACGTCGCATTCCAGTAAGAGTGCACGCGGTGATGTTCCATCTTCTACAGCAATTCTGAACCCTGACTTTCCAGGCCGCTCGCGTTGTAAGTATACGATAACATCGTAGGAAATCTTCACACATAGTATCTTGGCACTGCGATCTTATTTTCATATTTTTTTTTCACTCTCACTTACTAGGCTTCGGCGACCACACCGACAACGTGAATGAGGATTTCCCTGATGTGGGCCACGTTCCAGATGAACTCGAAATGGCATTGGAAAGGGAGATGGACGCAATGGACGTGGAAGAGTAGAAATTCAGTAGCTATACTTTCGTAGCAGAGCATCGTGAGTGCATCTGTGAAGTCCCTGGGGCGAATACACCTTTGAAGTTTTATGATTTGCGTTCATTTAAATACGACAAAGGGATATCACATTTTAAGACGCCTGGTGCTAGACCGAATGGTTGCAGTGGAGATCAGCGGACAAAGGCTTCAGATGCATCGAAAATGCCATAGTGTACTGACGTGCTGTTGTTTTGTTGCACTGTGTTGGATAATGAACATGGTGTGCGGAACTACACGTCCACACCTGCAGCTATCAAGCTCAATTTCCAAAGTATTTGACGCAACATGGCTTCTTATGCAGATTGGATCGCATTCCGGAGCGCTATCCTCGCTGCGGACTTTGTGAACAGGACCGAGTTCTTATCAACAGTGAGATATAGCGTCGTTCGTGATCCTGCTCCTCTACCAGACTCATTGGCCACACGTGCTCTTCTTGCACTTCAAGCTCTCAAACTTGTGCCTGACGAGAGGGTCTGCGAAAGTTGTTCCTTCCCGTACACGCTAGTTTTCAGAGCCCAGCGCTATTGCTGGCGTGGCAGTCGGTCTGATATCTCTGGATGTCCGGATTTCCGTGATAACAGTATCAGGCAGCTTCCATCGGTTTCCTTCATCATGTCAAGCAGTGCATGTGGATGACAAAGTTGGAGTGCTTTGTTATGTGGATTCTGGAGTATCCTCGTCAACAGATTGTTCGGGAACTCCATCCAGCACGACATGATAGCATCGATTCCTGGATTGCTTCCGTCCAAGGAACTCTGCGCAGCTGGTTTCAATTGCAGATGAGTCAGGGCTTTGATAGTGTTTTATCTCAAGAGCTACTTCGAAAGCCTTCTGTTTGCAAAGTCAATACCAAGAAGCCTGCTGCTGCTTATCATGTTGTGAAGAAGCCTTCTTCTCGTACGGCACCCGCAAAGAAACCAGCTTCGTCCTTGAAGAGACCTTCATCCTCGTCAACCTCACTCAAGAAGCCCCAGAAGATGCACTTGAAGTATGCTGGTAATGCACGTATTTTCATAGCAGATGAGACGCATTTGAACAAAAAAAGCCAGGTGCTCCTTCACGCTCCGGACGCCCTGAACGTGATCAAATATGGCTGTGGGGTGCAGTGCTCCACGGACACGTCAAGACACATTTTATTTTTCGCATCCTGAAGAACGCCGCAGATGCACATGACGGAAAACCACGTGGACACCAGGAGATGAAAACGAACCTTTCCATGTTGGGAATGAAAAGTGGAGACATTTTTGTGAGCGACAAATGGAAGGCTACTCTATCTTCTCTCAAAGCCCATCGCGAACTTCATGGACTATCGGAGAAGACTCCTTCGTCATGAGATTGTCAATCACTCCCAGGGCGAGATCGTAAACCAGAATGGATTCAGCAGCAATGCCATCGAATGCAAATGGTCTCTTATTGAGAGACGGATTCGGACAAGGCTATCAGGTACTTTACCACGACATGATGATCGTGAAAAATGTCGCCCACTCATCGATGAATATCAAGCACGATCGCTACTGAAGGGCCGCTCATCTCACACGCTCGATCGTGGCAACATGGTCGTCGTTTCCTTCCACGAAACAGTCAGTCAAACCTTTTCGTGTAGCGTAAAATCTCGCGCATTGCGGTTTTTGAAGCCACACCACACAGGCGAGTTTTCTGGACGGCATGCATATCGCACTAGGTTGATTGGAAGATGAAACGATCGCTTATGCAAGTATCGCGATGTTTATTGCTTCGCAAAGTACCAGTTGCACTGCAAGGGTGTTCAGATACTCTGCTTATGTGTCCGCAGCCGAAAAAGCCTCAAAAGCTTAATGTCATAAAAAGCCCAAAAACACTGGGTACATGATCCGGCTTAGAACCAGGGATTATATTGGGGCCCTATTATATTCCCATTATACCACTGTTACAGGGTGGGGGCCTCTTCTAAGGTATTAGGACTTTAAGGGCCTTGGATGTTGACGAACACCTGATTTAGGAGTGGGGTTTAGAGGTGCAGGCGTTTGGGCCTGAAGTCTTTGGCTGATCGAATGATTTAGGCTACGAAGCTCAATTCGGAGGGGTCAGTAAGGGGTTTTAGAACTTCCGAGCTCAAGCTGCATTTCGCAAGGCTACCTTTCAAGGGCTCGAGGGTTGCATTCTGTCGGAACGGAAGAGGGGTACCCATGACCGGGCTCAACACCGGAACATTAACTTCGATTTCAGTGCGCGACAGCAGCGATCGCTTCACTTCACATCCTTGCAGCCTTGCAGATTTGCGGTTCCATGGTTCCTTTGATGCCCCAGCTACTGAAACAGGTAAACCCTCATCAACTGGCTTTGGCCGGGCAAGCTCCAGACGGATTCCCACACGAATCTGTGAACCAGCCCGGAGTTCTGCAGCTGTAGGCTGAGCCTTAACCCTGAAGAACCTACCTTTTTAAGGACTTATGTAAGGAAATCATCATGGGAACCCTGAAAAGGTAGGTTCTTCAGGGTTAAGGAAGGGGCTAGAAGGCTTTTTCAGGGTGTTAATGTCAGCATAAGCTCCGTGCCCTGCAGACGCAGCCCGACCTTATACCAAGTGTCTGCAAACCTGAAATAAACGTGCGGAGTGAATTACTAGATATGTGAAAGGGGGCCAAGCTCGTCCAGTCCTGGTAGTGGGTAGAAGTCACGAAGTAATTTCTGAAAATCGGACATTGAGGCCACCGCTGCCTGCAGCCCCACTCCTATCCCACCAGCGTTACCATCCTACAACCTCTACCTGCTCACCACCACTGCCGCCGAAAACCCCACCACTCCTGCCTCTTCACCCGAACCACCACCACTGGCCACCACCCCCAACCACCCCTTTTACCCTTCTGTGTCATCTGTGTTGGAGGTGTGGAAGGGGTGTCAGGATGGTACTATTGGGGCCTTAACATTTAATTACCCATACTACTTTGGGGGTTCCTTAGTGTAAAAGAGTATAGTGGGCCCCAAAACCCTATTCTATTTACGAAGGCCCCCCCCCATATTCGTGTAAGCAGGAGTTTTCCGCTTGTTCAAAGTTGGCCAGGGGGCCAGGGCCTTGAGGTTGCGGCCGTAGTGCAAACCACTTGTGCAGGTATGGGGAGCTTCCGAAAATTAGGGGTACTTCATTTTGGGGTCCTTATAATAAGGATCCTACTATTTAGGGTACTAGTACCCGTATGCCAATCTCCGCATGTTTCAAAAGCATCACCGTAGCCTATGAACTAGAAGCCTGCAAAAGCTAAACTCGAAGCCTCCAAACCCAGTAATGCTTTACGAGCAGCTAAGTCTCAACTTGCAAGCTCTGCACCCCAGCTCCTGGACCTGAAGCCCTTGTCGGCCTTTCCAATTTCAAAAGCCCATGAAGAAACCAGAAGCTCCCAAGCCCTAACCTCTAAGCCGTAAGGCCATAGACCTAAACTCCAAACCTTTTAGCCATGGACCCAAGAGCCCCAAACCCGCAAACCCGAAACCCACCCTGTCACCAAGAGCCTTGACAGGAGCATGTGCACAGGCTTTATCGAAGATCGACCGGCCGCGCTGCGAGGCTCCAAAGGCGCGGAAGTAGGGGGTGCAGGGGTCCGCTGATGAAATATGGTACAGACATACACCTGCGTATAGAAACCAATGCACATGTAACCATAAATAAAGATAAATACATGAACACATAAGTAAGTGACAGACACAACCGGATATGTATGTTATATTATACAGCCAGATGCACACAATATCTGTTCACGTGTTTATATGCATATAAGCATGTATGTGTGTATGTACGTATGTATGTATGTATGTCTGTACGTTACGCTGTATATATTCATGTATTTATGTATGTATAGTATGTATGCATGTACGTAAGTATATAAGTGTGGTGAGTATGTGTGTATATATATATGTGTGTGTATCTGCATATACGTGTAGATGTGCATACACATTTGGGTGTATATGTATGCATTATGTACATGTTTTGTAATATGTATATATATATATATGTATATCTATATCTATGTATATATGTATATATGTATTTACGTAATCGCATACCTGCCTGCCTGCCTGCCGGCTGTCTGTGCACAGAGAGACAGAGAGACAGAGAGACAGACAGACAGAGAAGCAGAGAGAGAGCGAGAGAGAGAGAATGAAAGAAAGATAGATAAATCCCAGGGCTTCAGAGGATTTCTGGTCGTGGGCTTCAGAGTCTAACGCGTTTGGAGGTCTTGGAGACTTATGGGCTTGAGGATGTCAAGGTCAGTCAAGCAGAGGCCGGGTCTCAAGGCAGCGTGGTGGTTGTCAAGGTTAGGGGTTGTGGGGGTCTCAAGATGGTACTTTGTCATAGTTGGGTGGCATTTTACATTTTTAAGGGTACTTAAACCCAATAAGGAATAAACATGTACATCTTCAATCCTATCCCAACCATGAACTAGGGTACTGAAGCAGCTTAGCATACTTTAGCTTTCGAAGTTTGCCGGAATTTGCTTGGCGGATCTTGGGCGTAAACCTGTTGCTTACCACGCTCCAGAACGGACGATGTTGTATTACTTTTTTGTATTTTACTAGATTCTGTTCTGTCAGATTTCGTTATCTTCTATCATATCATATTATATTAGATGAGGTTTCATTACAGCATGTTTTATTCGATTATGTAGTAATAGGTTGAATTACATTATGGGTTAGAATAGATTGAATTGACTGAATTACGAAATATTGATATGATGTCATGGCATATCATGCTAGTTTATGCTTCAACAGGTTGTAACATATCAGGCTTGGTTGCAGTAGTATAATGTATCGCAGTATAACCGATAATATACACATGAATAGCATCGATGAGTTTAGATTGATTTAGACTAGATGTTTTGGATTAGTTCCTATTCTTTATATCATATTCGAGTGTCTGATATCGTAGTATCTAACAGCATGTTGTGTTCTGCGACATTGTCTTATATCATGTAATGTTACATTATACTACACTATGCTATAATTCGTATTCTGCATTGAGGTTGAGATTCAAGCTTTTCCGGCCCTTGGGTGGTGCATCCCTGTCGCCAGCGCCATCCGGGGATTCCGGGTATCTACAGAAGCACATTGTGCTATTGGCACGTTTTCCGTTGGAAGGTTGCCAGCTTTGGCCGCGTCGCAGGTCAAGCCACAGTCCGGTGCGTTTCGTCCTCGCGAAATCGCGCCCTAATCGTGCCGTGCGGATATTGGAGAGCAAATCGTGCTCCGCAACTGTGCGGCTCCCAGTTCGGAGTCCGGATTTCAACTCGCTTTGGTGGTCGTATCGTGGGAGTGTCGAGCTTGGAGCCCCATGTGGCCTGTCACAGCCTTTTCTGCTACGTTTTCCACTGACACATTGTCTTTTTGGGGGCACCGTCTTGAGAATTCTATCTTTTTTTTGGATGTCGCGAAACGAAGGCACTGTATGCGCTTCCGGTTTGTGCAGTCTGCCACGTCTGGATGTGCGATTAGCCGAGATTGCAGCGCCAAACCGAAGATGGGTAATGTATATAGATAGGAGCCTGAAAAGGCAGAATAGGGTTTTTCGCGGTTCCTTATCATATTGAGAGTACAGTATACATCCCCAACCCTATTCTAATTACTGAGGCCGCTATATCATCCAGTTCCGTCTATTGGTGTACACATCGTTTTCATGCGTCGAAGCTTTGTTTCACCCCCTGCTGCCCAAAGTCGTCAGATGTGGAGCTATCGTTGTATGCACATGCCAATAACATATGATAATTTATATATATATATATGCTGTATGTATATGCATATATATATATATATATATATATGTATATATTTATTTGTATATGCATTATACACATGTACCGACACGTACACAATGCTATACAGTGGGTGTCAAGATCCGGTGTTCTCTCTACTCGCGAAAGACTGCTACTCAAGGAGGCTCCTGCAACGTCCGGCAATTGGTCATGAACTGCCCATTGTGCAAGGACCAGGGAGGGCAGGGTTGGCGATAGCATAATCTTCTTCCTGGGTTAAGCTCGCGGCCTGTGGGTTCTATGATCTTCCTACTTGGCAACCAGCGAATAAGAGGGCTGATCTTGCTCATTCTCGCCGCGCTGTCCCGACCCAACAACCCGAAACAGCACCAAAACGTTGATGTATTTACCGACCAAGAAGCTCAGATGGCAGCGAAGCCCCAAAAGATTTGACAACAGGTCTCCTCCTGTCCCTGAGCCTTAAACCCTCACTTCCTGGAGTAGCGGGGAGGACATCTCCGCAGACGGGCGCTCAAAGACAATGCAGTTTTGAATCCTGAGCATATACCCTGAAACCCTAAAGCATAAAACCTTGCAACCAGGCGCCAAAATCCTCTAAACTTCAAGCCCACCCACCCTGTGGCTAGGACGCCTGCAAAGGGATCACTGCGGGGCCCGTGCGATTTCCAGAGGACGATCCGACGGACCAGGAGCACTGGTCTTTTAATTTCTAGCATTTTTCGTTACAGCTTTTGGAGTCCATGGTTGAGGGTCCAGGGTCTATGGGTCGCAGGGGTGAACGGCGAAAGCTCGTGTAGATATAGTTGCGACTTACAACCTCGGTCATGTACCTTGCATCTCAGGTTATATAGGAGCCTGGAGTCTGGAGAATTACATATAGCATTCCTATCCTGTTCTAATTCTTCAGGCCCATACAGTTACCAGTTTGCCCGGTCTTTCGGGGAGTATACATGCACCAGCTTCCGAGAGGTGTGCAGGGGCAGGGCATGATTGTTTCAGTTACCATTCTGTTGCTTCGATTATCTTCATCTTGTTTGAGTGGCAATCGTTAGATGCTTCCACATCGTGGTGAGAAAGTCGTATCCTGCATCAGGACATCTGGATCACGAGCTATCCCAAGACGGGCTCGACATGGGCCGCTCTCTATGCATATTTGAGGTATAGGGCTAAGGGTGTTTGTGGTGCTGCGTTCATGCGTCTGTGATGTCCCGTCATGTCTGTTTTGAGTGTTCAGAAAGCACGCAGCAGGAGTGGCGACAAGACCATCGAACCTTGTATATAGAAGCCTCACAAGCAGTGCGTATCGTTTTTTGCGGCATAGCGTACATGCCACCAATATTCGCATACAACACATCAGGCGTACGTGCACCTATATAACCAAGCATGAACTGTGTGCTTCAAAGTAAGAGTATAGTATATGTACACAATATCTTGTGCACGACGGCTACACTACACAGCATGCATATGTGCATGTGTACTATGTGCACCCATCCATGTATGCACAGGTATGCAGACCATTGTACATACACATGGGAAAACCGCACCCGACCAGCACCTTTGCTCTTTGTCGTCTCAGGCATGCTGTCCTTCACAGTCAGTTCACAGTAGTTCTGCGAGTAGACAAGTATGTGGGTAGTTCTCCAAATTAGGGTCCCTTTTTGGTCCCCAAAACCGTACGGCACCCTTACAAAAGGACCAGCAAGGGGAGAATTAACCATGTTTCGCAATGGAAGCGGCTTCTCGACCTAGGGTTTAAGGTCTAGGGTTTACCAGGACCCTTTAACGGGCTCTGATATTTCTCAGTTAGAGGTAACTAGGGGCTACAGTAAAGAAAAGTTGGGGGGTCTAGGTAAGCATACCCCCTACTTACGCCCACGCTTGAAGGCGCATGGGTAGCGGCAGCAGGGTTGTACGCTTAAAGTACCTCAACTCGTTTTTTTGCAGCCCTAGGCTAATTTTCTCAGGCCCCTCTACCATATGAGGGCTCAAAGGTTCGCCAGCTGCTCAGCCCTAAACACCTAGCGAGTGCGGACACCCAAACTAAACCCTAAACTTTAAGGAATTGCTGGGTGCATGCGAAGGTGCGGCATTTGGTGACGAACCTGTACTTTGCCACATCCTCGGCCTTCTATATCCAACGGGGGAGTTGGGCGTCCCAGAATTCCGGGGAAGCGCAATCAATATTAAAGGATGTTTCAGGGTTTCAGAAGGCTTTCTACAATTGTTTCGAGCAGTTCTGGGTTGCACTCACGATGAGCAATTAGACTCCCCCCACGCCTTGTTTTGAGAGTCTGAAACTCTTTTAAACTTCCCGAACCCCACGCCGTGAAAGTGTTGAAAAGGGCGAAAGCCTACTCTACTCGCGCAATCAGATCCCCAGCCTATCATCTAAGTAGCGCGAACATTCGATGGGTCGGGAATCTGTCCTCCAAGCTCAAATCCCTATTACTAAGCGTCAGACCCTAGAAAACCCTAAGCCTAAGCTTGAAACCCCAAACCCATACAACCTCTGGGCCTGTAAGGCCAGGACCCCCCCGATCTGAGGCGGTGAAGAATCCCGGACCTCTACAGGTGGCGTCCTTCAAAGCCGTGGATGACTTCATCCCCTTCATCGCCGCCTGATCTTCGATTGTTAGGGTTTCGGTTTTAGGGTTCATCGCCGTCTGATATCAGATTGCGAGGGTTTAGGGTTTAGGTTTTATCTGACTGAAGAGCCCTCTAGCTTCCGATACTTCCTACAGCATCCCGAAGCCTTCGGTGTTTGTCTGAGCATCACATGGTGCTTACGCCGAACATCCCTGAACAGGATCTTTAGTTGCCTTGGCTTGCGAACATTCGTGTGCCCAAGCCCTCAACCCTAAACCTCATCCTGCAACCTACATTCCCTAAACCCTAAACCCTAAACCCTAAAACCCTAAACCCTAAAACCCTAAACCCTAAACCCTAAACCCTACATCCGTGAACCCCGCTTAAGCCCCAGATCTCGCAGGCGAAACCCTGAAATTTAAGAGCCCCGAGGCCGAAAAACCCTACGGACTCCGATCCTTGAGCCCGAGGTTTCTTTGCCTTGTAGTCTTAAACGGAAGGGCTTTATAGGGCCTAAGGGTTTAGGGTTTAGGGTTTAGGATGAGGTTTAGGGTTTAGGGTTTAGGGTTTAAGGCCTAGGGTTTGGGCTTTGGGGTTTTTTGCCTTGGGGTTTGGGCTTTAGGGTTTTGGGCCCTTGTCGTAACCTTAAAGGAGCCCTTACCATACCTCTAAAGAAACTTATATGGCATGCTTGCTGAGGAAGATGGCAAGGGCTGGACTTCTCGCGACATGTTCCGCACGCGCGCCTGTGCCATAGTTGGGTAACATTCTACATGTATATGGGTACTTAGACCCGATTTGTCATAAAACCCCTACACCCCTAAACCCTAAACTCTAAACTCCTAAACTCCTAAACCCTAAACTCCTAAACCCTAAACCCTAAACTCCTAAACCCTAAACCCCTATGCCCTAAACCCTATCCCTAGGCACGGGTATGCGCATCTGGAAGACCCATGAGCCCTTCAACTGCGACACGCACCCCTGCAAGGCAGGGGTGCAAGGGCTTTCGTGAGCTTTTTTTGAGACAGTTTTTTTTTTTTTGGGGGGGGGGGGGGGCTTATGCAATTATGCGATATTCTACCCTGGGGGTGGACGGACTCTAAACCTGAAAGTCGAAATTCGGAACCTTTTTAGTTTAGAAGCCATGGGCCCAAAAACTACCAAACTTAATGCCAGTGTGCTCGACCAGCAAATCTGTAAACCCTAAGCCTGAACCCCTGAAACAACTGAAGTCCGACACCTACACCGCTTGGCCCATAAGACATAAGCCCTCCATGATTACGCTTTAGGGTTTAGTGGCCCAGGCTGTAGGGCGAATGGCGAAAAAGCTCAGCAGTTTGAGGCTTGGGGTTACCAGTTCGTACTCAGGCTTTATGTAGGGTGTGGCCGCCTTCAGGTCTTGGGGTTTCGGGGGAGTAATTAATGAGTGTGCAGAGTCGATGGTTCGGATTTTGCGAGCAGCTGAGAGTATGAACAAGGGCATTTTGAGTTCAATTTGCCATAGCAGCTTCTTGACAGCCCCACCCATACAAATCTGACGGGTGCTGGACGCCCAGTCTTTCAGGAAGGCCTTCAGGCTGTTCCTGTATCCGGCTATCTTGAACACCTCTACAGCCCTTCAGCCCTGAAGAGGGAACCAAAGCCGACACCCTAACATAGGGGCTTAAAAAATGACCTACACTATTTTGGGGGTTCCTTACTATAATTATAGTATAATTAATGGGCCCCAGCACCCTATTCTAATTATCAAGGCCCCTATATTACATCCTTCTAGTAGTCCTTGTAGTAGCCCTTATGGCACCCTGTAAAGGGAGCCCTTTAAAGGAACCCTATTGTAATGATGTAGTATAACGGGTCCCAGAACCCTATTCTAATTCTTAAGGCCCTTATATTATAGTACCCCTATAGGTCCCTTATAGTAGCCCCTGTAGACTCCTTTAAAGGGAACCAAATTCTAATTCTTACGGCCCTTAGTATTATTAAGGCCCTTAAAGTACATCCTTCTAGTAGTCCTTATAGTAGCCCTTATAGCACCCTTTTAAGGGGCCCTATTCTATTTCCTAAGGCCCCTAGTATTTATTATTTGCTGGAGGCTGGCACCGTGGACCATCAGGCTGCGAGCCAGTGCATGTGCCCAAACTGTGCCAAGAAGTTCCAAAGGGCGCCTTGTCCCTAAACCCTAAACCCCTACACCCCTAAAGCCCTAAACCCTAATCCCTAAACCTTAAACCCTAATCCCTAAACCCTAATCCCTAGACCCTAAAGCCTAACTGAGCCCCCATGGCTTGGGGTTCAGGGTTAAGGAACTGTGCCCGTAAGAACCGTAAGCCTCAGCTCCCCTAAGAGCCCGAAAACTTGAACCATCTTGAACCCTGAAGCCGTAAACGCCAAACCCTCATGAACCAGAAAGGTCATCCCCCTGACAGAGCAAAGCCCACAACCGAAACCTCTAAAGAGCTCTAAACCCCTAAACTCTGGCCCCTTAAGAGCCCCACAGTGAACCCTGCACTCTGCAAGCTACACACTGCCGTGCAGCTAAACTCCTCCGCCTTGGATCACTCTAGACCCCTGCAGGCATTCAACACAAACTACAGATCGCCTAAACCCCCTTTGTCATAGTTGGGTAACATTTTACATTTTTAAGGGTACTTAAACCCAATAGGGAATAAATATGTAAATTTTCAATCCTATCCCGACCATGAACTAGAACCTCTAGAAGTCTGAAGAGTTCACAAGCAATAGGATTTTTGGGTTTTCGGAGTTTAGAGCTTAAGTGTTTGGGGCTCCTATAATAAAGCTTATATACATCTATGATTCGTGTATTTTAGGGCTCAGGGTGAAGGGCTCTTTAGGATTTAGGGTTTTGGGGCAAGGGCTGCAGGCTGACCTTTGACAAGGTAAGCAGAGTTGTCGCGTGGGTTCAGGACAAACTCAGACGTGTCGTGAGCTGAACATCTGCAGCTAAGGGGTTTGAGTTTACGGTTTATTCCTTAAACCCTAAACCCTAAAAATCCTTCTGCACCCGACATAGCCCCTTAGGGCCTCGGATGCAAAGACCTTCTGTGGGCTGCGACCCTAGGAGCAGCGCAAAGTTCCCATGTTCGGATCTGGCATGTCAGTGGCAAAGGGACAGACAGGTTGTACTTATTGTTGAAGCTGGCCTCGATATGTCCAAGCTTTCAAACTTTTCAGAGTCTTGCCAAGGTCATCTATGTCTACCGTGACTTCGCTGAATGGAGCATGAACGCAGGAACATAATTAGGCGACAAGGGGTGCTATCTTTACCTCGGATTATGTGCTGCAAGACTCTTCTTTGTTGACCGGAATATCGGGAATCTCAACTACGATGGCCGTTCGGCCAGTTCTCAAACGGAGCGTTGTGCGCCAAAGCATGTGTTACAGCCGTTACAGCTTTAAGCACTTAGTCTTCCATGGTTTTCATATGACAGTCATCGTTCAGCATAGGTACCAAGCGTTGCAGTCTCAGGGTCTTTGGTTTACGGAGTTTACGGATGCGAAGCCACTTCTGCTAAGGCTACTACTTGTAGTGCCGCAACATGGGGGAGTCAACACTTCTCTGAAGCGCATCCATTGCGGGTTCTAGCTGAAGTCACGGCACCGCAGGGTTCCTGCTTCCTGGTGTAGGGTCTCCACCGTTCTTTGTTTCGTGATCCGGTTGGTGCCAAGAACCCAAGCCCTCAACCCTAGCCCCAAACCTGAAACCCTGAGTAACCCCAAACTCTATAACCTTGAACCCTAAATGCCTGCCAAGGAAACGGCTATGACACCCTGGCCTCCTACTTCCGCTTTCGCATGGGCCTAGGCCAAGTACGGGATCCTACCTCTTTCCCGCGTCTCGTCCTGAACGATTAGGGTTTACCTTAACCCTGAATAACCTACCTTTTTAGGGTTCCTGATCATGACTTCCTTGAAGAAGTCCTGAAAAAGGTAGGTTATTCGGGGTTAAGGTAGGATTGAGGAATCGGGTTTAAGCGTTTATCGTGGTTTGGCGTTGTAATGTGACCCAATACCGAAAGCAATAAACACAGCGATAACGTATAGATCCTGGTTAATACACTCCGACTCTGTGAGGGCCGGAATTTTAAGGTAATTACGGGGCTGTTAATCAAGGTCTACATGAATGATCATTATAGAAATACCACGAACAACAAGATCTTGCCGTAAGAATACGAACAAGATTAATATGGCAATAGAAGGAACTACATCCACACTAGCGTGAATCTGACAGCTGGACTGGTGGTCGTGATGACAGACAATCATCGCCACTGATAGCCCCCACCTTTGAAAACGGCAGATGAGGCGGTGCTGTCATGCGGTTCTAAATGGACGAAGTCGCACCAAAGTTTCCATTCTCTGCGCCGCCATGCCCGGAAATCCCGAAAAGCTGGACCCCATAGTTGGACTCCCAGGAGCTTCATCAACAACAGGAGGACTTCGCATCTCTAACGGGCGAGACCGGGTATTTCTATCCGGGGTTGAAGGCAAAGTGAGGGGGTTGTGAGTATCGCAGCTCTTGTGGCATGGGAGGGGTCTTAGGGCTCTTACGGTAGCCGTAGGTTCTTCGTGTTTCTGTTTGCCATGTGCTTTATTCCCACGCGCATGTGTGTGTACTTGTTTGTCATGGGCTTGTCACTTGAGGATTTTCTTATACACTCACCGGTTACAGGATAGGTGCTGACATTTCATGAGGTAGAATAGAAACTATGGGACGCTGTGGGAGAGCATAGAACATTCTGAAAAGTAGTGGAATTTCGGTTTATAGGATATCGTGGCAGAAAGCATTATGGGATATTCTCAGATACTATGCGTTTATAGGAGAGGTTCAGCAAGTCCTGGGTTCACTTCGGAATCTGTTGGAGGTCAGCTGAACCCGCTAAAACCCTAAAGACCCAACAACCCTCAGCCCAAAACCCCCAAAACCGTAAACCCCATAGTACCCTTATAGATCCCTCATAGTAACCCTTATCGGCCCTTTAAAGGAACCCTAGGGACCCCCAAAGCCGCAGGATGTATCCGGGCGTCTCATGGGCTGACCACATTCGATCTTGGCAGCATGCTGCGCGGGAAAACTCCAAGCTGAAGATCCTCTGGTGCCTTGACCAGGGCTCCTTTAAAGGGTTTAGGGTGTAGGGTTTATGGGTTTAGGGTTTAGGGATTAGGGATTAGGGATTAGGGATTAAGGATTAGGGATTAGGGTAGGGTGTAGGGTTTATGGGTCTACAAGGGTTACTATAAGGAATCTATAGTAGGGTTCTATACTTTTGGGGCCTTAATAATTACCTCTACTATTTCGGTGGCCTTGACCCGAAACCCTGAACCCTGCCAGGACCCCCCAAGTACCCTTCACAGGGCTCTGATATTTATCAGTAAGAGGTAATCAGGGGCTACAACAAAGGGTAGTCGGGTGGTCTAGGTGAACCTTAAACCCTAGACTCCTAGACTCTAAATGTTAAAGGTGCAAGAGCCGGGAGTTCCCTGTCATTCAAGTTGCAGTGCAAGCTGAAAAAGAGTAACATGTGTTGTTGTCTACATTGGGTTCCCTTTTCGGGTCCTTGTTATAGGGTGCCGTACTATTTTGGGGACGTGCGACAGGACCCTGATTTAGAGAACTACCCATGTCTTGCCTTTGCTGTCCCCTACATGAACAACTAAACTAAATCGACAAATCCTAGCATAAGCTAATTACAATGGAGGGCTCGTCGAATTGCCAAAGCTTGAAATCCCGAGACCTGAGACCCCATGGTTTGCCAAGTGGGAAGCGAGGCTTCGCTACGAGTCCTTACGTCAGACGCCGGAACTCGAGATGCGACGCTCCTTGCTGGCGCAAGGATTGCCTGTTTGGGTTTAGGGCTTTTCAAGTTTATTCTGTGGAAGTTGAAGCTTAAGGTTCAGAAATCTTAAGATTAGATGCCTCAAGAAGTTTCTGTGTATTTACAGGGTTTGGACTGTCATCTGATGATTTAGAGTATGGGTTGATTGAGGAGCTACATGCGCGGTTTCATTTTTCAGGGCTTTCGGACGGAAGGACTGTAGGTCTGCCAGGTTGGTCCGTGGCAGACGTCGGGTTCCGATAGGCTGCAGGTTGGTCTTCCAGGATTTTGGTGTTTTCCTGAATTGTGATTTTGCTTTATTTATTATCATTATCATCAATACTATTTGGTTAACATCGTATCATTATCATTAGTACTATTATTATGGTTCTTATTGTGATTGTTATTCCTGCGGCTTCCTTATCGTGTTTATGCCAGAAGCCCCCTCTACTAGGTCTATGTCAATGGACTCAGGAATGCTTGGTTCGTGGCTGGACTCTAGGTTCTGAGCTTTCCCTTCAGAGTTTCGATGCATTTCCGGATCCGGCTCTTCGATCGAGGGTGTGGCGCCTGGCAGCGGGAAACTGCGGTACGCATGCAGATCACATGGCGCACCCGTATACGATTGGAGGATTTAGATGGGTAGTTCTCCAGACTCTCGGATAGCCTAAACCCTATACACCCGGCAGGTTCACTGTGTAAAGCTTTGTCGAATCTAACCTACCCCGGGTTTCTTAGGCGACTCATAGACCCTGGCCCCGGTGACAAATTCCTACAGCCCACGGTATAATACAGATATAGACTGTATGAGCATGAGTAAATAATGCAGCATATACATATATATATATATATATATGTACGTAGGACCTTTAGGGTCTATTTGACGTATGGCTTTGCTTTGTTTATCAATACTATATCAATTCAGGCTTTTCAGATTTTAAGGATTTTAAAGATTTCAGATGCTTTTAAAATCTTTTATTTTTGAAAACCAAGCTTTTCAGATTTTAAAGATTTTAAAGGCTTTTAAAATCTTTAAAATCTTTAATTTTTGAAAACCAAGCTTTTCAGATTTTAAAGATTTTAAAGATTTTTAAAATTTTAAATAGGTGTCGGTGGCCTGGAGCCCAGACCTAACGATTTAAAATTTTAAAAATCTTTAAAATCTTTAAAATTTTAATTTTTGAAAACCAAGCTTTTCAGATTTTAAAGATTTTAAAGATTTTAAAGGCTTTTAAAATCTTTAAAATCTTTAATTTTTGAAAACCAAGCTTTTCAGATTTTAAAGATTTTAAAGATTTTAAAGATTTTTAAAATTTTAAATAGGTGTCGGTGGCCTGGAGCCCAGACCTAACGATTTAAAATTTTATTAAAATCTTTAAAATCTTTAAATTTTGAAAACCAAGCTTTTCAGATTTTAAAGATTTTAAAGATTTTAAAGCTTTTAAAATCTTTAAAATCTTTAATTTTTGAAAACCAAGCTTTTCAGATTTTAAAGATTTTAAAGGCTTTTAAATTCTTTAAAATCTTTAATTTTTGAAAACCAATCTTTTCAGATTTTAAAGATTTTAAAGATTTTAAAGATTTTTAAAATTTTAAATCGTTAGGTCTGGGTTCCAGGCCACCGACACCTATTTAAAATTTTAAAAATCTTGAAAATCTTTAAAATCTTTAATTTTTGAAAACCAAGCTTTTCAGATTTTAAAGATTTTAAAAGCTTTTAAAATCTTTAATTTTTGAAAACCAAGCTTTTCAGATTTTAAAGATTTTAAAGATTTTATAGATTTTATAGATTTTTAAAATTTTAATGGGTGTCGGTGTCCTGGAGCCCAGACCTAACGATTTAAAATTTTAAAAATCTTTAAAATCTTTAATTTTTGAAAACCAAGCTTTTCAGATTTTAAAGATTTTAAAGGCTTTTGAAATCTTTAAAATCTTTAATTTTTGAAAACCAAGCTTTTCAGATTTTAAAGATTTTAAAGATTTTTAAAATTTTAAATAGTGTCGGGCCTGGAGCCCAGACCTAACGATTTAAAATTTTAAAAAAAATCTTTAAAATCTTTAATTTTTGAAAACCAAGCTTTTCAGATTTTAAAGATTTTAAAGGCTTTTAAAATCTTTAAAATCTTTAATTTTTGAAAACCAAGCTTTTCAGATTTTAAAGATTTTAAAGATTTTAAAGGCTTTTAAAATCTTCAAAATCTTTAATTTTTGAAAACCAAGCTTTTCAGATTTTAAAGATTTTAAAGATTTTAAAGATTTTTAAAAATTTAAATAGGTGTCGGTGGCCTCCACCCAGCCCCCAGCCTCTAGCTCCAGCCCCAGCCGCCCGCCCCCACCAGCCTCCACCCCCGCCCCCTACACCGGTTTTTGCCCCTTCCCTTTACCGCCAGCCCAGCTCCAGCCAGCTCTCCCTCCCCGCCCTCTACCCCCAGCCCAGCCCCCAGCCGCCCGCCCCCGCCAGCCTCCACCCGCCGGCTCTCCTCTCTGGCCCTCCCTGCCCCCTGCCTTTGCCCCGCCTCTCCCCCCAGCCCTCCCAGCCGCCCGCCCCCACCGGCCTCCACCCCCAGCCGCAGCCAGCTCTCCCTCTCTGCCCCTGCCCCCTGCCTCTGCCTGTGCTCCCTGCCCTGCTTTCCGGTGCCTTGCCTTGTCCCGCCCAGTTCTCCAGCCCCAGCCTGCAGCCCCAGCCCAGCGCTCCCCTCAGAGCCTCAACCACCACTTTGCTAAGACTCCCACCCCACACCAGCCCCAACCCTCTTTTCCAGAACTCCAGAACAAGGCCCAGCTCGCCCGAAGCCGCCACCAAGAAAGAGCCGCCCCAGCCGAATCCGAAAAGCGCTAAGTTGAAGAGCAGAGGTTTAGCAACTTTGCGTGACAAAATTTGGTGCGATCGGGCTGCGACCTTGTCGACGTGCTGTAAATACCACACTAAAACCGAGCAGGGGTTTAGCAACTTTGTGTGACAAAATTTGGTGCGATCGGGCTGCGACCTTGTCAAAGTGCTGTAAATACCACACTAAAACCGAGCACGGGTTTAGCAGCTTTCCGTGGCAAAACAAGGGCTAGGGATTTCACACATGCGCTGGTAAAATCTGGCGGAAGTGATCCGTGATCGAGCAGAAAGCCTGTAAATACCGCGTTAAAACAAGGGCTAGGGATTTCACACATCCGCTGGTAAAATCTGGCGGAAGTGATCGGTGATCGCGCAGAAAGCCTGTAAATACCGCGTTAAAACAAGGGCTCGGGATTTCACACATCCGCTGGCAAAATCTGACGGAAGTGATCGGTGATCACGCAGAAAGCTTGAAATACCGCGTCAAAACCAAGGCTAAGGATTTCACACATCTGCTGGCAAAATCTGGCGGAAGTGATTTCTGATCGAGCAGAAAGCCTGTATAATCCGCGAGCCCCCAGTTCCAGCCCCCAGCCCCAGCCCTCAGCCCCAGCCCCAACCCCGGCCCCCACAATCCCCCCCCAGCCCGCCTCCGCCCTGCCCAACCCCAGCCCCAGTGGCCCAGCCGCAGCCACGAATTCCAAGCTTACCAGCCCTGCCCAACCCCAGCCCAAGCCCGAAAAAGGGCCCCAGCCCCCTGCCCTTAACCCCATGCCTCTCCCCCGCTTCTCCCCCCCTGCCTTGCGGTGACACCCCTTGCGATTTGTGATTTTGGAACCTATTTGTTGAAAAAGCCTTTAGGGGGACACTCATTGCGATCTGTGATTCTAGTAATGGAGTTCTTACAAAACCTTAATTAATTAGGGGGACACCCCTTGCGATTTGTGTTTTTGAAACATATTGATTACCTTCCCTTAGGGTGACACCCCTTGCGATCTATGGTTTTCGGATCTGAGTTACAGGTGTTTTGGTGGACCACAGGTCACTTCCGCCAGATTTTGCCAGCAGATGTGTGAAATCCCTGGCCCCTGTTTTAGCGCGGTATTTACAGGTGTTTTGCTGGATCACAGGTCACTTCCGCCAGATTTTGCCAGCAGATGTGTGAAATCCCTAGTCCTTGTTTTCACGCGGTATTTACAGGTGTTTTGTTCGGGCACAGGTCACTTCCGCCAGATTTTGCCAGCAGATGTGTGAAATCCGTAGCCCCTGTTTTAGCGCGGTATTTACAGGTGTTTTGCTGGATCACAGGTCACTTCCGCCAGATTTTGCCAACAGATGTGGGAAATCCCTAGTCCTTGTCTTCACGCGGTATTTACATGTGTTTTGTTCGAACACAGGTCACTTCCGCCAGATTTTGCCAGCAGATGTGTGAAATCCCTAGCCCTTGTTT